GTGATAGCACAAATTAACCATCAGATTTTCCTTAACTCATTGAATTGGATGGAATACACATCGCAACCAAATTATCCTTATCAAGTTCCCTAACTATGAAAGCATGATAGAAAGACATATCAAAGGTCATTAAGTTCTTGGAAAACCATAAGCATTGACGAAGCATTCGTAACTATGAAAAGCATGATACTCCTGCCTAGAATTTACTTAACACAATCATGACTAGTGAGTTCCACTACTCGTGAATATAAGTTCATAACGATTAGGTGAAACTCCCTTATACTCTAGCATCAAATTCATGCATGCAAAACAATAACTGGACGTAATCAATTAATATAAAACATATAATCATAGCTTCGAATTCACCTTTAACTAAAAATGAATTAGTTCCTCATGTTCATAATAATTGAAAAGCAAAGTACAATAAACATGGAAACGAAACGAGGGAAGAAAGAACTCTGAATCTCCAATGGTTGCAGGTGACTTGCGGCACAGCCCTTGGATGGTGGCACGGCACAAGACTCTTCTTTTCCTTCCCTTCCCTTGCTGCAGCACTTGATGAATTTCTCTCTAATTGGTGTGAATTGTGGTATAGAATTATATGGGGGTGGTGGTGCTAAATTGTGGCTGAAAACATGTATTTATAGGCTAAGGTTTTCACAATTTCTAAAGGGAAAAGGCTTAGGGTTTGCGGCACCAATTCCTTGAAAGACAAGGAAAGGCATGGCCCAATCCAAGAGGGAAAAGAATTAGGGTTTTTAGCAGATTTTAGGGCTTCTAGAACAACAAGGGTGCGGCACTCTTTTAGGGATTCCTTGGCAGATTCCTAAGCTTTTAAAAGAGGGAGAGACGCCACCTTTCTAGGGTTCTATAAGGGGTGGTGCGGCATAAGTCTAGGGCATGGATAAACGTTCTAGAAATCAGAATTTAAGTCCCCTTACAGCTGGATTTAAGGTAAGATAAGATTAGGATAGGATAAGATAAGGTTAGCTTGGATAAGATAAGGTTAGATAAGGTTGGATAAGGTTTTGGATATTGTTTCCTTCTTTTAAGTTGATTCCTTATCTTCTTTATCTTGAATTTATTTTCGTCATCTTTTTAGCACATTCCTAGCCTTTTGAACTTCAAAAACGTCCATCCACCTTGCTTCATTCATGTGTTATCCATTCTTGGCCCAAAACTGCTCCAAAATGCTCTTTCTTGCCCACTTTGTCATTTGGACCTAGAAACACACGAAAATAACTTAAAACACTATAACAAGTAGAAACTAGCTATGAAAATGCAAGAAAACAAGCTAACTAAATCGCATAAATATGCTCCTATCACTAGACCACCAGTGCAACACGACTAACTTCCTTATCTGTAGCTTCCAACATCACTTAAGTTGCATTAAGCTTACTTTTCAAATCGACGACCTCCTGATGAATGATCGCTAGGTGCATAGAAGTGGGAGTAGAGACATTAGACCTATTCAAAACGGCGAGTTCAAATTCGAGCTTCTCGATCTTTTCAACATCCAGGCGAAGTTAAGCCGTCAACGCCACTTCGGCCTCCTTAGCATACTTAATAGCATCCTGATCAACACATATAAACTTAGCTGCCAGGATAAAAGTCTTATGCATTGTAGCAAGCAAGGAGAACCTTGAGTAGGTAGGACACTTCGCAAAAGAGTTTGAGCGGACAACAACTTTCCCAACGCTATTATCAAACTTGGTGCATGCATTGACGTTCTCAAGCAGGTTAGCCTTCAGCAGTGCACAAACCTCAGGAAACTCCTCAAAACCAGACTTGATGGATCTCTCAACTGCCCATGCAAACAAACTTCCCTTTCTCAGAAGCGGAACAAGACTTGGCTCCTAATGCGCGCTTCGATACAAACATAAACACTAAGGGCAGCACCGAACAATTTCATTGTACAATCCTCTCAGCAATGGTTGTGGCTACCTTCGTAATAGTATATTTCACAGGCTTATACTCAATAGTTTTTTTCTTCCACTTAGGAAAAGTCAAATCAATGACAAGCTTTTTAGCAACACATGCCAAACCCCACGACCTGGTCCCATTTTTCTCTCTAGCTTACACTTGACCTACATGGGCCTCGGTTCATATATTTCTCTCTTAAGCAGTACGACCCTGTGCCCAGCCTACCAAGCACAGCGGCTCGTGCCTAAGCCATGGCCTCAGCCACGCAATTCCTGGCCCAGTAAGCCTAACCCGTGGCTTAAGTCACAAGCAAGAGAGATGGTGCTCTACACTTCTTTCTCTCTCCCTCCATGGCATAGCAAGCCCGAGCCTGCCTCATCATACTTGGCTCACGCCAAGCCTAAATCTAGAAGGGCTAGAGTCTCACGACTCGCCCAGCTTCACGCCTAACATGTCGTTCGCTTCGTGCCTAGCGTGCCGTTCGTTTCGCCCACTCATGATCACCTTTGCTCGAGACGTCAAGTAACCTATGGTGAGACATCAACTGCTCCACACCATCCAGTATGCCTGACTAAGTCATGTCAGATTTAGGCCTCCAGAATGAGCTCGAGCCTCGTGGTTCGCTCTGCACTACACCCTAGTGCCTTTAGTCGTGGCCCTAGTTATGCAACTGCCTTCGCTCCAATCGAGCCGAGCAGCCCAAGCTGTGGCCATTACCACGCAACCTCATCAGCCCACGCCAATCCAACTCCTGGCCCCTGCCATTCGACAAGCCACACCACCCCGACGGCTGCCCTGTGGCAGCACCACCCTAGAAGACAAAGAAAATTATGTTTTTCTTTCCTTGGTGAGGCGTGGAGAAGAAGAACAACAATGAGAAACGACTCTTTGCAAGGGCAAGAGAAAAATAGAGCTAGGGGAATGAGAACAAATTTCCTCTAATATCTCTCTTGTTGGAATGAAGATTGTTCTCCAAATTTATAATCCCCTGCTTAAGGCAAAATAAATACGTATTAGGAGCAATTGGTTTCCTTTCCTAGAAGAGTCTACATCAAATTGGGAAACAACTTTACACACCCATGCAGCTTGAGATTTCTACACCTACTGCCATTTTTCTACCTGCATCCCAGCATGTGTGAGGGCATTTATGGAGCCTAAAATAATCCCAAAAATCCTAGAGGTGTCACATGGACTTTTGCTCAAGAAAGACAAAATTGTCCTCATTAAATAGGCAGGCTTCTTAGATACTCCCACGGGCAGCTCAGCACCTTAAGGTCCAAGCAGCTAAATACAATTGCTCACAACTCACCTGCCCATGGCAAGGAAAAGTCAAAGCATTAAAGATAAGTATTAATTACCCAAATCATATATACATTCGCAATTGAAGATTGACTTCATTCAAGTAAGTAATCCCTATTTAAATCAATTAGGGATATTTGCACCATTATGTCAAAATATTATTTCCTATTTAATATCTTGAGAATATTCTCTCCATAAACCTTGGCCAATAGGATGCTCCCATGTGTAGGGTAAAACCCTAACACCATGGTCAACCACTCCCTTATATATACCTCAATCTCTACTAAATTTTGATAAGCTTTAGCTACCCCTTAAAAACCCTAAACACTTAATCTTTTTAAAGAAACTAACTTAGGCATCAGAGACCCATTGGCCTAACTCCCCCCCCCCCCCCTCACACCTTAAGGGCGCATGAGGCTTAGGTCTTTGATCAAAGGTATTGATTATTTTGCAAGTGCATTTTCATCAAAGCTAGAGACAACAAAAACTTGCATCAACAAAGTATAGTTGTAAAGGCCTTACATTTGTTTAGCAATGACCCTCTATGATCATATTGTTGGGGTAAGCGTCCCTTTTATAGCTATTTTTCTGTTTTCTCATTTGTTAGTACTTAGTAGTGAGTTATTTGCTAAATTGTATGTGTTGTATATGTTGCTTTATTTGTAAGACTTTTATTGGGCTTGCATCTATTTAGGTGAAGTAAATCTATAATTATTGGAAATATCTTTCCTATTAGGTCATGGATTTTAGAAGTGCTAAGGATATGTATTAGGGTTTTCTTTATGGGCAAGGAAAACCTAATAGTCTCACCTATTAATATAAAGCTTAGGTCCCTACTCTTATACACAAGATTCTAGCACAAAACCTACCCCATATAGGAGTGAATAAGGCATGTAGAGAGAGCAGAAGATCTTTGCTTGGTGCTGCTATTCTTGATTCATCATTGTGCTTCGATTCAATGGCTTCTCAAGGTTAGTACTTTTAGTGTGCATATTATAGTCGACTTACACTATCTTCTATAACGAGGGTCTCGAGGTTAGGGATTTAGTGGAGAAGATAAGGCAGCATATACCATCCGTACAAGTTGGGTATGCATACTTTAAGTTTGAGGAGACTATAGTATGCATCAGATAGTTGAATTCATCACTAGAATTCATCCAACATTGATGTGTGACATTGCTTTGACTCTATATGGTTTTGCTTGCTGCATATGTAGGGCATACATATATGGTTCTCAGGATTCACAGAAAGGGTTGAGGAGGAAAACAAAGAACAACTTGCATGAAACAGGTTCACTGTCATGTAGCGTCTGAATCCAATAATACATTGTCACCCAACAAAACCATTTTTACTCACATCTTTTCATTTCCCTTATTAGACTAAAATTATAGTTCCATTTAAGTATCAAGACAGGTGTCACAAAACTAGTTTGGTGACGAGAAGAAAATTTTGGAGTCAGCAGACCCGCAACCTTTCTTTTTCGGTTAATTTTGCTATGTTGTATTTGCTGCCGCTATTTTCATCATGGAATAAAATAAAACGTCACAATTCGTGTTCTAATGCTTCCTTCTCACAAGAATATATGGCCTTCTACTTTCTAGTTTGTGTTCAATTCTCAAAAACAAACAAACAAACAAACAAAAAGAAAAAAAGAAAGTTTGAAACTAAACCCCAGCTTTACGCAACTCACCCGTCATTATCCTACATGTGATGTAATCTACAGTTGCACGGCTGGGACGACTGAGTAAGATCAATATACACACAAACCAAACCCCATAACACGCGTCATCTTACGTTTTAACTTTAACACATGATATTGCATCATTTTTAGTTTTCACATCAAAACCCTATAAACTTGAAATCCAGAACAAGAACCCTAATGATATTGAAATACGGTCATCAGCCTACCGGAACATGCGAAGATACAGTACGTTCGACCTATTTACATATCACCCCTGAAAAATGGTGCACTTAAAAATGAGCTGGAGAACGTCCCTCCGATGTTAGGGAAAAGCGTGAGGAAGCAGATAAGGCCGAGGACACAACCCCAAGCAAACCTATCGTCTCCCATGGGGGTGATTTCATCTTTCGCAGGCATTTCTTCTCCACCCCGGAAGAAGGTGGCAAATAATCCCCATGCCAGGCAAAGGACACTTCCACTTAGGCCACCAATCCCAAGTAAAAGCGATGTGGCAAACGATAGCAGAGCAGCCGTACCTCTCCCAAACATAGCTTGTGCAATCCGGCCTCCTTCGAGTCTCCCACATGGCAACAAGTTCAGAGAAGTCACCACCATCCCTGTCGATAAATGCAGTCAATACCTTGTAGTTGTATCCAGATTAAATTTATACATTTGACTAATGCTTAAGCATATGCTGGATTTTGGCATTAAGTAATCATGACAACCTTTATTTTTTCTGATTCTTCCCAAAATGCCAACATAATTATTTCACACATTTGAGTAGCGTTTTATTTTGTCACACAAGCACACTAACAGAGTATGTAGTCTTATACAACTCAACATAATTTCTTTCAATTTAGGTGACCTTAAGGACTGCTTAGATATAACACCGGAGCCAAGCTATTTGTAGAGGTTGAGTTTCCAGATAGAAACTGTCATTTCGTGAAAACTTTCTGCCAACTAGCACAGTAACTCTGCACTCAAAATTTTGGAGCGGCAAAAGAGGAGGAGGGGGGGCTGTGAAAGGGGGGGGGAGGATGAGGTAAAAACTGTAATATGAATTAAGAAGGTTAAAGAACTGACCTAGAAGTCCAGCAAAGGCAAGGGGATCAACAGGAACTCCAACACCTTCCACTGCATAGGGCAGCACATTTCCAAGGTCATCCGCGTAAGGACCAATAACAAATTGGACAAAAGAAAGCAAGGGATTATTAAAGAAGAATTGCGGCCTTATATACCTGCCAAGAAAAGAAAAAGGAATGCTTGTTAAAACGAAATAATTAGTGAGATGACAGAGGTCAGATGAAGTTCAAGACGGTGATGCTAGAGCTTTGGGCAGGACGTTTAAAAAAGCAATCTGTTATATTTCTGAGTAAGGGTCTGTAAAGAACTTACAATGCATTGTCACCCCCATTAAAGCTTCCATCAGCCACAAAAGCAGCAATTGCAAGCACCAGTGATGTGAGATATGCACTAGCCGTGCGTGCCACTGGAATGTCAAAAAGCGCTTTCTTGTTTGGAAGCAGTGATTCATAGTTATTCATCACTCCTAAACAGCCTGTCCAATTGGATGGCACAAGAAAAGATGGACTGAGTTTTACACCGTGACGAGCAGCTGTCACTCTAGTCGCTATCTGTGTAAAAGAAACTTGTTAGAATGGAAGAGAGATACAAAATTACGTCACATACAGACCATGTTAGAACCGGAGTACAAAAACTCATAACCATCACATCAGAACAAAGGAATGCAAAATGTCCTCGTATATGTATTCTCTAAATTAAAATTCATTTTTAAGCCTAATAATCTCGGTATGCTCCTCATGTTGGATTAACATTCTCCATTTCTTGAAAAGTCACACTAACACATCATTAAAAAAAACAGGATTTGCCAGGTTAACCTGATTATTCTAGGCCAGACAATGATATGAACTGTCAAGATTAATGACAGACAAATCAAATAAAAGATAAAATACCTCAGAAACTCCCAAAATAGATAGGAAGCCACCAAAGAGGGGCACAACATTGGCAAGGTAGTCATCCCATGTAGCATCAGGTTTCAGGAAGAAGCCACTTATTAGAGCTACGGTCCCAAACGTGGCGACACATAAGGCTACTGCACTCACATAACCCAAAGGAGTGCTCAGCTTGGTTGACTCAAACTGCAGATCAATTTCCAATTTGGGTTGCACCATACAGACCTTAAAGAAGAACAAACCAATGTCAATATATAACTAGAAACAACATCAATTTTTAATCAAAGTAAGAATATTATCATCAACATTTGAGAGACTAGGATCAATTTAGATCAATTTCATACTTATATCAGTACCTGTTTTCTGATGTCATTAGTTTTTTCTTCCATGAACCATAACACAACTTCTCTTCCTGCCGCTTCAGATAGCTTTTGCTCTAATTTGGGCATGACCTCTTCAATTGGTCTCCTCAAATTTCCAACAAAAATGCCTCCATCTCCAAATCTCCGAACATCAGTTGGAAAAAATGTATCAAACCCAAAACAACTCCTTAACTGCCACATCAAAATTGACGCAACATAAGATACAAAGGTTTGGTACTTCTTTACATAAACTAACGATACAAAATGCTCTCAACGGGTCATCTTCTGATAAATTGATAACCAGTAAGCTATACTTTAAAGGAAAATGACTAAAATTATCACAAATCAAATCCCAACTGCTGAACTAGAATTATATATCAACGACACAACCATCAAATATCAACAACATACTGAAAAACTTATTATTTCAGCAAATGATCATTTTGGTCAATTTCCCTAACTATACCCAGTCATGTTTTGGCATAAACAAGTATGTTTAATCACATCCAAATCCAAAAGAGCATCCTTTTCACTTACACCATAAAAAAAATTTGATTTCCAGACTATAACTTTCATGAACAAACACTTGCACAGAGGGAAAAATAGAAGAAATTTACCTTGTTAAGATCAATTGCCTTGAACGTCTCTTCAGCTTTCTCCAGCCTCTCCTTCTCTCTGGTCAAACTGTCACGCAAAACTTTGTTCAGGATCCCTGCAAATGGGTTCCCACTACTTTCCCTATCAAGATCCTTGAGTTTCCTATCTGCCCTTTTCTTCTCCAACTTTATTGCAGCTTCAATCGAAGGATTTCCCATGAACTTCTTGAACTCCTCGTCCGTCTTCCAATCCGTCTCCAGCTGCTTCTCTTTCTCCTCATCAGACTCAGAGTCAGCTCCTTCTGCTGGCAATTCACTCTCCTGGGTCTCACTGCCGTCGCTCGGCTTCTCGGAAACTGCAACAGCCGACGACGGCGACGAAGAAGAAGTGGGTTCGTTTTCCTGGTCATTTTTCATGGAAAACGTGAGAAAATGATGGCGTTTTTTCGAAAAGGTGAGATTTTGGGTGTTTTTACGAAATGGGGTTTTGTTGAAAGATGAGAGGGTGGTACTGGTGTTGCTATTCTTGGGAGGCCATGAGGAAATGGAGTAATGTGAAGCGATGGAGAGAGACGCCATTGGAGAGCTTGGAGAGTTGAGTGAGAGATGAGAGAGGCCATGGCGTGGTGGCTGTAGAAAAAGGAGTCGGATGCAGACACAGAGAGAAAGAGAGAGAGAGAGAGAGAGGAATGTGGAGGAAGGTCTAGAAAGCTGGAGAAGAAAGACAGGTGGATTGGGTGTTGAAGATTGTGACAAGAAGATGAGACCCCATGAAAGCTCAGTCGAGTTCTCCTCGGCTCCAATTGGCGTGTGGTATTCGATTTGATTGGAATTTTAGGGAGGAATGGTGATAAACTGATAATTGAAAGATAAATGTTACGTCATCAAATTTTTAAAAGAGAAATTAGGTTCACGTTATTATTTTTGCTATTTTATTGATTAAAATCTTATTTATTTTTAATTTTTTATTAAGGTTCTTGGACATTAATAACATTATTAATTATTGGAATAATAAAATATTTTTACTTTTAAATATATTCCTTTAGTGTTAAAAATGTTACAATTAGTATATTAATATTTATGGCTAAACTTTTTATCATATATTTTTATTTTTAGTTTGTACCTATTTTTAATTTGTACCCATATATTAGTTTCTTTTTATGCCCATATTTTTTAAAGTTTTATTTGTGTTTGTACCCATGTGTATACTATCACGTAATATTATATATTTAATCAATGATAGAAAAATTACATATGGTATATTTATGTTTTATGCCTAAACTTTGTATCATATATTTATATTTTTAGTTTGTACCCACTTTTAATTTGCAACATTTTTTTTTAAATTTGTAGTATTTTCTTTTTAGTTTTATTTTGTACCCATGTATTAATTTCTTTTAGCGCCTATATTTTTTAAAAATTCATTTGTACTCATAATTTTTTAATCTTTTATATGTACCCTAATTTATTTATAATGTACTCATTCTTCTTTATTAATGTGCTACTTTGTTATATGTGAAATGTACCAATTTTTGTTTTTTTTTTTGTAAAATGTACCAATTTTTTTAACACTATAGATACATTCTTTTGCCATTTATTATTTCTTATTTTTACATAGTTTTTATCCATTTTATTCAATCAAAATGTTTGAATTTTTTTATTGTAACATTTTCTAATAGTATTATAATGAGGGATTTTAAATTTATAGGATTATAAATCCCATAAAATATCAAACAATTAATGTCAAACTATAAAAATATAAATATTAATTGTAATATAATGAGGTGTACAAAGTTAAGGGACTTTGATCAAACTTTGAATATCATTAAGGTTTTAGTCAAAGAATGTTAAGGATTAAGGACCGCATCTAAAGTATCCCATTTTTAAATTAAATCTACAAATTAAATGATTTGGATATAGATGTTTAGATTATTAATTAAGTGTCGATTAACGTACTTATTTTTTATTCGTGACATATCATTTGATTTTTAAATTTGGTTTCTTTAGCATTATAAGGAATCGAATCTCCTTCGGATCCATTAAAATTGAGCCATCTAATCAATTAATCTAGGCCGTTGAAATTTGATCAAATGGCTACAATTATTATAACTTTTAGAGGGCCTCCTGTTTGTAGCCGTTAGATCAAATTTCAACGGCTTGGATTAATTGATTAGGTGACTCAATTTTAGTGGATTCGGAGAGGATCTGGTTCCTTATCCTAAGTGTTGCGTACTTATGCTTTGTTTAGCGAACAATGTGAGGAGAGAAAAAGTGTACTTGTATTGGTTAGTACGGATATAATTTTAATATGAAACTCCTCAAAGAGCAAGGTATTTATTATTTGTAAAAGAATGCAAAAGAGAAATTTACTCACAATTATAATGTTATTGTGACAATATTTTTAATGACACACCCCGACTGAGATCAATGCATGCTGGCCGTCACGTGGGAGTGACGTAGCCATGTACACAGTGCGGAAGCAATAATGAAAAGAAATGTACGAATAAGCAAAAACCAAATTACTAGAGTGCACTACTAAACAGGAAGTGATAGGAGTTAGATACAAACGTAAACACTCCTAATCAGAGCATAATAAGTCTAGGTGCAGTCTAGTAGGACAAGTACTAGTTATACAGTACCAGGAATGTCCTACTATTATTTAGATATGTCAGAACTGCCGACGTCCTCAAGCCACCAACAGCAAGCTTACTTAAAACCTGGAGGGGCGCAAAACAGAAAACGTGAGTGGGCAAAAACAAATGCTTTACAAAACCATTTCATTTATCAATATACTAACCCCTCGCTGTAAAACATGTATAATTTTTCCCAGAATCAAGATATAAGCATATACATAATATATATATATATATATATATATATATGAAAGCATATCAATTCAATTCATGCTTCACATAATCATATTCAAATGTATGCCATGCCAAAATATAACAAAGTAAGCAATTCAGGTAAGAATAAATTCATAGAAATATGATATGTTAGCCGGAACCCCTGTGGTAGTCTGTACGGCTGACTTCATAGCTCAAAAGTCAATCTAGCCGGAGTCACTACAATGACCTATACGGCAATATACTGCACATAAGTCGGAACCACTAAAAAGGGGTATGTACGACAAGATTGGGTGTAATATAATTATGCTCAATTTTACTCTCTCATAATAGCCGGGGCGATAAATCGCTAGTCACCTACGAGTCGGAACCATAAATAAGGTATGTACGACAAGACTGTGCACTTAAGTTGGATCCAATATGAGCATATAATGCGGGAGGTGACGTAAATAAACAGGCATGTACTTCATATCTCTGGCTAAATCACAATCACCCTAGGTGCAGTTTTATGAGCTCAACATTATTCAATCACATACCACATCATCGATGATTCACATAACCAAACATAGCTTACCTGAACTTACCTGTGCCTCACAGCACCACATTTATATATATATGCAACCATGAAATGCATATTCAGAATATGAAAACATTTGGCATATTATTTCAAGCATACTTTCCTTAAAAAATGCATTTCTGGGAAATATATCAAGTATATAAATATATACTAAAAACAAAAGCCCACTCACTGGTATGTCGAAGGGTCGTAGCCCCCGAGTCACCCGTGGATACGCTCGTCCTCGGGATAAGCCTCACCTATATGCGAATTAACTATAAAAATATTATTTTAAAGCACATAGGCAAAAACTAGCTAATAACTTCTCATACAATGCTCAATTTGGGTATATGAATATACCACAATGACCTACATAACCTCAGGATCATCCCCAAATTTTCAAAATAATTTTCTGACCCCGCACGCGCCGCCACGCGCCGGCCAAGGCACGGTAATACGTGCCGCCACGCGCAGGGGATCCTGATGGATTCTACAAGCAGCGTCAGAAATATTCCTCAGAATATTTCGTTAAATCCTAATGGTAACCGTCAATCCTAACTGATGGCGTTAGAATATTCCGTCCAAACTGACGGAATATTCTGTTTTCGTCTCCGGCGAGTCGTCAGTCGTTGGAAAGCTTGGAAAAATTTCTAATCGTCTATTCTCACTCGTTTTTCAACCATTTTCTTTGAAATTTGAACTAAATGAAAGCTTAGAGTGAGAAGAATGGCGTTATACCTATTTGAAGCTTCAAATATCACGAAATCACGTCGGGAAAGCTTCGAAATTTCGACCAAACCTGCAACTCTTCGTTTCTCGCGATCCCGATGTCCAAATTCTTCAAATGAACTACCCCGAGACTCGTGAGGACCTCTTTAAGCTTCCTATGAGGTTACGGGTCCACGAGTTTTTCGAAGGATTCCTTACCTGAAATGGGTACCAATTAACTCGTAGCACCACGAGGAACACAATGGTGCACTCAAAACCTTCGATCTGAGAAGTTTGAGGTGATTTTGGTGCTTGTCCGTACATATAGCAAAGAGAGAGAGAGAAACCGAGAGAGAGAGTATAGGAGTGAGAGAGAGAAGGTGATGTGGAGGTGTGTGTGGTCCTATCTGCACACCCACCAATCAAACCAATTATTTTCCTTACTTGCAATTGGGTCCAACATTCCAGGGACTCATCAAATTGGTCCTTAAACCAAAACTTAGTCACACAACGCCACCAACGCTCAAGGGCAATTCCGTCTTTTCACATCATCGTGAATAAAATAATGTACATCTCCAGGACGGGCTATGACATTTAATCGATGAATAGTATTGTCATGCACTCTAATATTTTCACTTGACGATGTGTGATTCATTTGTGATTGATAATTTGTAAGGATGTTCCATTTGATATGAATATAGAAATTCAATGAAATTTAAAAAATTCAAAACTCCCTCAAATGGCCTTTTTTTGTTCTTACTTTCGTCTTGATTAGGAGAAATTTGTAATGATTTTGTGAGGAAAATATTTGGAAACTCCAGAGCAAGATAAGAGGGAATACGTAATACATAAAAAAAAAATACAACAAATTAAGAAGAAAGGTGAATGTATAATTGCAACATATATGACAAAGTGCAGTTTTAGTTTCTTACGTTGTAAGAAGTCAAGTATTTTTTGTTTCTTTTCATCAACCAGGAATGTATGTACCCCACTCATTTACATGTCGTTTATGAGTTAAATAGGATTTTTTTTTCTTTGAATTAGACGGATATTTGAACAAATAATCTCTACTTCAAGTATCTCATACCGCTTGATCTAAAGACTTATGATCTTAGTTCAGAAATCTCCCAGTTACGCTTTAACCTTTCTAATTTTTTTTTTTTTTTTTTTTGCCTTTTTAAGTTTAAATTACTCAAATCTACATAAAAGAAAATTCAAACTTGAGTATAAGGCCATCTCCAACCGATGGCTGGCCAGAGGGTTTGTTTTAGCCCTCTGGTTCTCCAAGATATTAATATTTTAATGAACAGTACATGACCATATTTGCCTCCGTCTCCAACTGAGGGCCAAAGGGCCAGAGAGCTCGTTTTAGCCCTGTCACAAAAAACCGTCTCCAACCGAGGGCCAAAGGGCCAAACATAATTTATTATTTAAATTTAAAAACTACAACAACTTAAATTCAAATCCAATAACAACTTAAATTTAAAAACTACAATTTATATTTAAAAATGACAAATTAAATTTAAAAACTACAAATTAAATTTAAAGGAATGGTGAATGAATGGTTTAGGTATTTATAGGGAAAAAAATTAGAATTTTTAAGAATTAAAAAAAAAGGCCCAAAAATCTAAAAATAAAAATAAAATA